AATGTCTCACGGTTATAATTCATTATGGATTCTAGCACCAGTAAATCATATAAACAAAGTCATACTACAGAATACCATTTTTAACCTGTTTTATATTTGGGATGGATTGTTTATTAGAGAAAAAAAGAATGTCACTGCTAAAAAAGTAAATGAAAACAGTATTCTATGGCTATACCATGGTACCTTTCAGGGTAGAGAAACACAAAATACAGATCTTAAGTAGGGAATGTCAAATAAGCTAAGGGAAAAATTGACAGACTATACTAATTTTCAGAATTGTCAGCCAAAATTTTTTGCCATCATATAACCTACATATATCTAACGGCATCAATGGTGACAGTCATATCCAGTGTCACTCACACAGGCTGGAGACAGCCAACTGTACACACTTCTTCCTAATGGTACATTCAATGATACCAGGTTACTAGCTTGAAACGGGCGATAGTAGGAATTTGTATTTCACGAAAATCTGCAAACAAAATAAATTGGGGTTTTTCCTTTTTTGAAATCCATACTCCACCCTGACCGACAGACAAGGTGTTAAATATTTACCAGTACAACACTGGAAATATCACACTTCTGAAGGTATTTTGATTATAAAGGTCATTTAACTAGCTCCATGATGCTTTAAAACAGAATCATTTTCCAAATAAACAAAGGCAGAATAAAATTTAAAATAAAAATCTGTTTCCAAGAAAGCTATATGTTGAAAAATAAAGGCGAGGAAACAACTACATATTAACACAGTCCATTTCATCTGAAATTTATATAGTCCTTTCTTTAGGAAAAAATGCATCTTCATATATGTGCTATGGTACAGGGCCTCTCTCTTATAGAGGTTTCTAACTTTCTCAATAATTTGAAGTCAAACAAAATAAGCTCCTTCTTTCTGAGACTGATCAGCTTTTAATATTTAAAGAAAGTAAATCTATAGTCCCAGGATCTTCTCTTTTATGCTCAATCTCTATTTAAAGATTATAAAGATTTAAAGTAAAACAAGTGAAATGCTGCTATTGATGTTAGGGAAAATCCATTATATAGAGTATAATGCATTTTTATAAAGAAAAGTATACCTTATACCATGACAACTTCAGCAAATCAAGCAACAATGAAATTAATATTAAATGTTAGAATATCAAAATAGATAAAACACTTATTTTGAGTATTTAGAAACCCAACCTTACAACTTTAGCCTGACATTTATCATAATCTATTCTGCATCAATTAAACACCAACTCATTTTCTCAGTCCTCCTATCTGTTCCTTTACCAGATTTCTCCAGCTGCTTCCTCAGACTGGGCCTGCCACACTGAGGCTGGACTCAAAGAAAAGTCTTAAGCCTGAGAAGCTCCCTTAGTACTTGAGGGATATTCCTTTTATCTGTCCCTCACATGTGTGCTCCAGTTTACTCTGACTTTTATCCATTGCCTTAAAAATCATTACAAATCCACCATGTTACAGTCCTTATGCTAGGCCCTGTAAACATAATGGTAGACAAGATCAAAATGTTCACGACTTTCATGGAGGGCAGTCTGCTAGGACAGACATCCACTGAACAAATAATCTCATTTAAAAAAAAATTATAAATGCTAGGAAAGAAAAGTGTACGATTCCATGAATATGTTAACCAGGAGACGATCTTCCTCTGTACGCTCTGGAAAAGCTTCCCTGAGAAAGTAAAATTTAACTCAAGACCTGAAGAATGGTTCAAGGCATAAGAAACAGTACTTTCCAGCTGCAAACATGTTGGTTTCACCTTTGTTGGTACTTTTATTTCCACTTTTGCTGTCTCCTAGCATTTCTCTCCTAATTTTTTTTTCCATGATTTTTTTATTTTTACGTTTTACAGTGTTGTGTTGGTTTCTGCATACAACAATGTAAATAACACCGAAGTATACATATGTCCCCTCCCTCCTAATCCTCTCATATACCCCTCACCCCATCCCACCCCTCTAGCTTGTCACAGAGCACTGATTTGAGCTCCCTGTGTTATAAGAAACTTCCCATTAGCTATCTATTTTACATATTCTGCTTAATATTATTGTATCTAGCTACTAATGCTGATCCTTTTTAATCCCCATAATAGTATCAGCTAATGTTTACTGAGCTTATACTACTCAGAAGATATCATTCTAAGCAATTTAAATAAATGAACTCATTTAACCCTCACAATGATCATATGAGACAGGTTGTACTTCATATCACAGATGAGGAATCTGAGGTAGAGCCACGGTAAGCGACTTGTAGGAAATTACATAGCTACTGGTACTAGTCCTTGCATGACCATCACGTCCCTCGTAACTTATCACTCTTACAGAAACCCTCAAGGCACCAAGCTACATTAGCAACATTACTGGGCAAAGAATACAAAGTTTCCTATATCCTCTGAACTGCTATCATCTTCAGCTAGACAGGATCATGCTTATTGTCTCCAGTTTTCAGAAATTAGGAATAAAAGATTGACCAGGGTAGCCTATACTAAAACATCTTCAAGAGCAAGAAAAATGTCTTTAGAACAAGTAGTACTTTCTTACAAAAAATTATTCACCCAGAATATGAAATAATGAAAAATGGGAAAGGAGAAAGAATTATAATTTGTTTAATTCCTTCTGTATCTCCCAAGGCTTTCCTGGTGGCCCAGTCAGTAAAGAGTCTCCCTGCAGTGCAGGAGACCCGGGTTCGATCCCTGGGTCAGAAAGATCCCCTGGAGAAGGAAATGGCAACCCACTCCAGTATTCTTGCCTGGAGACTTCCATGGACAGAAGAGCCTGGTGAGCTACAGTCCACAGGGTCACAAAGAGTAACTCCCAAGGAAGAGAAAAAGTGAAAGTGAAAGTCACTCAGCTGTGTGCGACCCTTTGTGACCCTATGGGTAGCCTTTCCCTTCTCCAGGGGATCTTCCTAACTCAGGGATTGAACCCAGGTCTCCTGCATTGCAGGCAGATGCTTTACCAGCTGAGCCACAAGGGAAGCCCAAGAATACTGAAATGGGTAGCCTATGCCTTCTCCAGCGGATCTTCCCGACCCAGGAATTGAACCGGGGTCCCCTGAATTGCAGGCGGATTCTTTACCAACTGAGCACCAGGGAAGCCCTAAGGGAGAAAAAAATATGAGCATTTCTTTTTTCTTTTAATTCAAACTCATAAATATTTGCACAATTAATATATGTAGTGAATAGGCTATGATAAAGAAGAAATTCCCAAAACCAATTATTTTCTTTAAGTAAGCATCTTTTAAATATCAAAGAAAAGGAAATAATAATTAAATTATCAAGGCCTCAGTCAAAACTACATGTAGATTTTTTTTAAAGTTCTTATTATGATCAAGAGTTTCATTTGTAAATTTATCATTGAAGGTGATGTGAAAAACAGTAATTAAGTGGGTGATTGATACAGGTGAATGTATAACTCATAGTTTGCAAAGGAATATGATTTTGGAGAAAAGGCTCAGAAAGAAAAGCAGCAAATAATGGATTCTGGAAGAATGAAGACCTTTCCTGTCCAAGGACTGTCAGCAGTTCTTTATTACTTGAAGATTAAGGGAATAGTGAATAAAGCTGTCTGCCAGACAGCAGAAAAGGTAAGAAATAACATTGTCTCTAAGTGTACCTCACATTAAAGTTCTCAGAAATAACATTCATAAAATTAAACTTTCAATAAAAAGTAACTAGAAAACTCAACTCAAATTAGAACAATAGAAACATAAAAACAAACCAACATTACATTTATCAGGAACTTAAACAATGAAACAGCAGGGTAGGTCAAGTTATAGAATTGCCTAATTTTATTCCACTTGGTTTTTGAAAAAAGGCAGATACAATACTGAATTAGGAGGAGATTTTATGGGGTTTGTTTTTCTTTGGTTATTTCTCTACTTCACAGGTTACTGGACCGAGTAAAGTAGATTATCCTCCAAAAAAATGGGTTGGTCTCATCCAATCACTGGAAAGCCTTAATAGAACCACCACTGCCCTCCCTGGAATAGACAGAAATGCTTCCAGTCAACTGCCTTTGGACTCAAACTGGAAGTCTTAAGTGAGTCTCCAGCCTGCCAGCCTACTATGGAGATTCTGAATTTACCAACCCTCTATAGTCATTTGAGGCAATTCTTTAAAATCAATCAATCTCTCCTTCTCTTTTAACAACCACATATATACTCAAGCCTCCCCAAGACATCCTGTTGGTCCTATTTCTCTAGAGAATTCTCAGTAAGACAGCAGCGTAGCTGAAAACTTAGCCTAAGAAAACGGGATGGGAATTGAAATTTCTACCTTTGTCTCCAGTCATTCCTAAAAAGATTAAAATTCTCAAGAAGCTATAATAGAATTTCGTTTTCATATCCTAACCACATAGAATATGATATTCTTTTCCTTTTAAAACTGTTATTTGATGAAACTAACCAACTCTGGAAAACAGTTTGCCAGATTCTCAAAAAGTTAGGCATAGAGTTAGCATATGACCCAGCATCTACTCCAAGGCACATGCCCAAAAGAACTGAATACATGTTCACACAAAAACTTTTACATGAATGTTCAGAGCAGCATTTCAGAGTAGTCTAAACATGGAAACATAAACCTCATCAATTGATGAACAGATTAAAAAAAATCATATCCATACAATGGAATGATTCAAGAATAAAAAGAAATAATTACTGACACACATCACAACATGGATAAATCTTGAAAACATGCTAAGTAAAAGGCAGGCAGAAAAGATCACAAACTGCATGAATTCACTGATATGAAATGTCCAGATCAGACAAATCCATATGGACAAAAAAATAGATCAGCAAGTTGTCAGGCACAAGGAGAAGGGAATCAATGGGGAGTGAATGCTAATGGGTTTGGGGTTTCCTACTGGGATAATAAGAATGTTCTTGCATTATACAGTGGTGATAATTGTATAACCTTGTAAATACACTAAAAACCATTTAAATGTGAACATTAAGTGAATTGTATTTCAAGTAAAAAGTGTTAGAAAATATAAGATTAATCAACTTACCTGCCCTTTTTGTGGTGCCAAACAACGAATAACTTCATCCACCATCACTGGAATATGTAACTTAGTCATCACTTCAGAATCTCTATCTTGAGATCTGTGTAACTCCTCAACTCCAGTTTGATCTGTTTCCTCCTGGGCTTCACATTCATTATATCTTTCTGCTGTAGCATGTATTTTTTTTGGCCAGACACCCAAATTAAATATGCCAGATTCCAACCAGCAAGAAAGAAAATTTTTATGGATTCTACAAAAATATGGGTATCGAAGCATTCTGTAGATCAACAAATCTAGAAAAAAATTAAAATCATGATTGTTGGATTTTTTTTTAACGAATGTTATAATACTTGGGGGAAAGCAAATTAGTGTGCAATATTTACCACATGAAAAATACATAAAACTCATCATTTCAAACCAGTGATGGTGACTACCCTCCTTACATAAGGCAAGGAACCCAAGAGAACCCCAGAGACTATCTGAAAATATAATTTTTAACGTGGCCTGATAAGCTCTAAGACCATTAATGTTTTAACCATCAGAGATATGAATATTTATTAATCACAATTTTCTGAAATATGTTTTTTTGAATTTTAATTAAGTTTAAAGAATGGGTTCAATGCATCAAAACTGTTAATCTGAAAAAGCTATCTAGACGGCTGAAGGGATTATAAATATCATTCTATTTTAGGTTCACATGTTCTTTAATTTCAAGCCCTTTTAATTGTTTTTCACATAATGCTAAATCTTAATTTTCAATTTAACTTTGAGAAACTGAATAAAGGCTATGCATGTACAACCGAAAAGAAAAAGAGGTTATCAGTCTGTGAAAAAAACCTTATAGATTTGTCATGGATAATTTTTGACAAAATCATCTCACCATGCCCTGTATCAGTGACATATATATCATTTTAAACTATACTTTATAAACACTCCACTGAACACACTTTGACATTTCACATCCAACACTGTTTTAATTGTCTGTTCCCTGCCCCCAACAAAAAATCAAGTAAATAACTGATACATTCTTTTTTTTCCCTCTAACTTGCTCCGTTTTATTCTGGAATGTTCAACTCTAAAATGAAGAGGAAAAAACATAATTTTTGAAATATATTAACAGAATACCTTTTGAAAATATTATGCTCTTTACTCCAAATGTAGTTTGTGGTTGCAAACAACATTTTTGACATTATTACAATAAATAACAATTTAACACTACTCTTCCTTCCTCATGAATTATGAGTTACTTAGACGTTAGAACCACACCTTTATATCCACAAAATTAGATGCATACTAGGTGCTCAATATTTGTTTTCTTGGGGGAAAAAAAACTGGTTCAATAAATTCCAGATTCTACAGAATTAATGTTTGTATCAAACCTTGCTTTAGAAATTTCACCGGTCTCCCTAACCCTACAAAAAACCAAATTCTCAAAATAGCCAAGAAAGATAAATTTTGCTTAAGTATGCCTTAACTTCCTTTTGCAATAGAAAATGAAGAATAATGTTGAGAGGTCAATCACATGTAATAATTGTAAAATAAAAATATATATTTGATATTGTATATAGTATCAGTAAGATGTAACTGTGAGGATAAAATGTCAACTGTACCAAAGACATAATTCACTAATTATGTTGCAAATATGACACAGAAAAACTATGCCAAAAAAGTTTGTTAAATGAGTGTTTTAATTTTAGATGTTCAGTATAACATCTGTATAACAACTATATATATAAATGCTATATAATGTTATATAACAGTGTAAAAATTTTAGTTGTTCAGCAGTTAACAAATTAGCCAGATTATGAATTATGCCTTATGCTTTCCAGAAAGTTTACACAAGCCAAACTATGCTCTAACTTGGCATTTCTAACATATTTCAAAATAAATGCTAACATTTATTGAGCACTTACTAAGTACCACTTACTAGTCTAAGCACACTATATGTACTAACTCATTCAATCCTTACTCCAGCACTTAGAGGTAGGTACTATTATTATTTCCATTTTACAGAGGAGAAAACAGAGAAGTAATCTGCAAAAGGTCACACAGCTGGAGAGTCATAAAGCTAGAACTCTAACACCAGCATTCTTTCCCCAGAATTGTTTATCTTAACCTATATGTTATAAACACAGCCAACTGGCTTTATTTAATACAGTCATGTAATTGAAAGATACTTTGATTACACTGACTATGTATTTTTAGTATGCCATGAATTAGACATCTTTTTTAAGGAGCCAGTATCCTACTGTTGGTCTACTCCACCTGGAAACACAGTATACCGTGTGGCACCCAACAGAAGACCCTGTAAGGATGCACAGCCCTAAGTACTGGAATCTGGAGTATTTAAACAATACAACTAAAACTGATTCTATTATTCTGCCTATCCAATACATGTAAACAATCTAAACTGGATGTTCAGATTTTGATTTTTTTTTTAACAAAACAAGCAATCGAACAAATAGAAAAGTCCATCAATTCCAATATCAGAATCAGAACCATGCAGGGAAAGGCAAGTAGGATTTAAAAAAAAGAAGTTTTCAACAGCATTGAATTTTCTTCTGCAATCAATTTCTTTGTATTTACTCAAATATATTCAAGGTACAAAGCCTGTAGAGTTTATTATGCATGAATTGGCTACTAACCTGAGTAAGCATAGAGAAAACATTTCAGTAATTAACCTTCCTCTTTGGTTGTGTTTTTTAACATGTCCCTAAAAATGGAAGGGGGCAAGCTCTAAAGGAAATCCCCTCTCTTCTGCAGCCCAATCTCCTACCAGGTAACTCAGAGCACTCCTGCAGTCTGCTAAGAACCAGCCACCCTGAAAGATTTAAGATAGTTTTAGGTTCCCTCTGTTTACATTAAAGAAGCAGGATATCAGGAAATCTAAGCTCTAGAGCCAACTCTGTGGTTTCCTAGGTAAGCCATTTAACTTTTGCCTGCCAGCAAAATTCAGTCTAAGCGGCTGAGACCACAGAATTAGCCTGGTTACTCTTTTAAACGTGGGAACATAAAGGTGAGCGATACCTTTGAAAACTACTTCCTCAACGGTACTACCAATTACCATCATTGCAGTCAGCTCCCCCTACAGAGAAAACTCTTTGGAAATTTAATTCCTAAAGCCAAAAAGTCGACCTGGAGGCTGGCAACCGAACGCAGAGAACGTGAAAAGGGTCCTAAAGAAGAAGAAGAAGAAGGGAAAAAAAAATCCATTCTTTTGCGTAAGAATTACACTCGGACGAGGGAAACTGTTTAGAAACTTCTGAACTCGGTATGAAAAGAGTGCTGAGGAGAGTAAGCGTGAGAGCAGAGGCGCGAGTTTCCTTTGCGCTGGGCGAATCCGTCGTCCCCTGGAAGTTCCCCCACAGGCGTGGAGCGGGTTCCAAAGGAGCTCCCGGGACTCGACCACCTTCTCCTCACCTGAGGAACGAAGATTTCTCAGTTAGCCTCCAACTCGGGCCTGCGACAACCACTACAGTCCGGGAAATTCTGAATTTGCCGCTCACCCAGGTCCCAGCCCTGGGGGAAACTTGCGAGGACGGACAGATTGGGCCCACGTCCGCCCCAGCAACCGAGGACCGTCTGCATTTGGTTCCGTTGCTTCCAGTCCCCAGCTGCCAAAGGGTCCCGCAGGCGCTTGGGCTCCAAAAGGTGTTCCTGGGGGTGGGGTGGGATATAAATTCCTATCATTGCCAGCTTTAAATTCACTTTTACTTTTTTATGTGTCTGATGCAACTTCAAATCTAACTTTCCATTTTATCCTTTTCTCCACTCTTTTCATTTTACTCTAAACCTTTGTTAAATTGCTGTGTTCTAAGTAAGACAGCAGTTAGTTATACGCTTAATTCCTAACAAAAGGTGGGAATTTCTGTCTCCTTAGCACTACGTGTTTGAAAAATTTTGGTTCTTTTGCCTTCATTTCGTTACAAAATACACCAGTTTCCTATCAGTTCTATTACACTCCTTATTGACTTGCTAATTAAAGAGAAGCCAGCTGCCAGAGTAATGACGTTGACTATAACATTAAAATTTCTCTTATTCCTTAAGAATATGAACTTCATAATCTTTTAAACGGCGTGATGCAGAATTTAAATGTAAAATAAGCACCAGATTAGGTGTAGAAACACCCATGAAATTGGTTCAGCCTTATACAATGTGGCTATCGAAAAGGAAGAAATTTAAACACTTCTCCTTTAGCAATGATCAGTACAATTTTACAAGGAATTGGTAAAACATGCCTATTTTCAGACTAAATTAGGATATCATATTAATATCACTTAATCTAGAAAGTATTTCAGAAACAAGTGACTCCATTCTGAATTGGCTGGGTTGTACCCTTCAAAAGAAATATTTTTCTTCAGAGATATTTTGAAAACTTCAGTTTTCTTTTCAGTAAAATACATAGTATATACATCTCATGGGCTGTTTTGAAACGTGGAAGTGATTAGATAGTATATATAAAATTAATAAAATGCCCAGAACATCAAAGGTAAAGTACCACAGAGTGAGTGCATATTTGAAATGAAATAAAATAAAAAGCCTTCTCAATTTTACTACCAAACCCAGCACCATACAAATCACTATCTCATTAGCTAAGATCCATCTAGTACAGCCAGCAATTAGTAGCTTGATTGATGCTCTATCCAGTGCTCAGAAATAATCATATATTATGTATCATATACAATACAAAGTGCTTCTGATTTTCTTCAATATGAAATAAATGCCTATGAAGGTTTCCCCTACATTGTTCACTTATAATACTCTACACTTAGTGGTGTGCTATCCTGTATATATGGTGATGTTGAATCACTAGAACATAAGCTCCAAGAGGGCCAGGAGTTTGACTCAACTGTGTGCTATTATGTCCTTAAAATATACAATCAATAACTGCTGAATGAATGGATACAACAATAGTAACATAAGAACAACAAAAATTCAGATCATACCATTAAAAATATCCTGAGAAACAAACGATGAATTCTCTTAGCAAACACATCTGCCATTTTTTTCCAGATATATATATTTTTCTTTTTATAGTTACATTCTAAAATTCTAACTACAACCCAGGACTTAAAAGCCCACTGAATCCAATAATGAACTAGGCCAATAAATTTAAATAAATTTATTTTGTAATGTCATCTTAGAAAGAAATGGAAAAAAACAGTCATACAACAAATAGTTTAACAGACAGCAGGCACTGAGGGAATGGGCCTGGGGTTCCTGAGCAATGAAGCCTGGGGCCTCCAACCAAAAGTCCTGGACTTTCGATTAATTTAGATGAATTGACCCCAGTTCTGTCCAAATGAAAGTGGCTGGAAGGAACAGGCCCCTATAGCTTCCAGGTCGCGGGACCTGTGCCTTGGAGGCCTCATTGTTTAATAGAGAAAAGGAGAAAGTAAACACACAAAACCCATTAATCCATACCCAACAGGCTCCGCCTCTCCCCCTAGCAGAGGGCATGGCCTAGCCCTGCCCGCACTCGTCTCACTCACACCCTGAACCCAGGGACCGGGCCCGAGCCCGCGGTCTGAAGGCTTCCTGAAGATCCCAGGTGGCTGCCTCCCACCTGCAGCTGCAGCCTAACCCCGCCCACCTCAGCCAACGCCTCCGGAAACAGCCTCCGCGTTGCCACGGTGACGCGGAGTAAAGCAGCTTCTAGTGCTCCGCGCCGCTAAGACGCCTGGCGCCAAACTGCAGCGCGCCACGGCCACGTCCTGCGTGGTGACGTCACGAAGACGGCAGCCAATGAAAAGAGGCGCTGAGGAAGCTGGCTTGAGTTTGAATCTCGAGGCTGAGTTTGAATAACCGGGTGGCGGACAATCGAGTGAAGAGTCCCTGAAATTTCTGGGCCTGAGGTGAGTGTAAGGCTAGAGGAGAAAACTGATCTCGGGAACTTTTTTTGGATGACCTATCTCGCTGGAAGCGGAGAGGTCCCGCCGCCTCAGGAATAGAGGACCAACTGGGCTTGTTGACAAGCACGGAAGCGTTAAGCGCGGCTTTGGTGTAGGGTTGCGGGTGGGCCTGGTTAAGGTTCCTTGAGGAGAAAGTGAAGGGAAGCAGGAACTTGAGAACGCACTAGAATGTGACTCTGCCTGAACGAGAGTCCTCGACGGCTCAGCAGGAAGATCAGGAGTCTGCTACCTGAAATTCTGAGGAAGTCGGAAATTTTAAAGGGCATCCTGGCTCTTTTCCCAGACTTTGGCAGAACACTAACTGTTCAGTACCTTACAGTGCAAAGTTCCTTCCGGACTCCATATACAGAGTGTTTAGTTTTGAAGTATAACTAACTCTAGGCTTAACTATCAGATGAGGAGCCTTGGTTCACCAACTTGCAAACTTTTTGTCCAGCGAGGTTCTGCTGTTAACCTGTCAAAGATCAGCTGGGAACCTTCCCCGAGCCCCAGTTGTAGCATCAAGATAAAACCTGCCAACAGTGACTAATTTGGGGTTTACTGAGGATCAGCCAGGCTATGGAACAGACACTGGTAGATGATGCTCTGCAAATGAAAAATACTTAAAGCACTGAGAATCAGTTCTTCTACCATTGCTTCTTAAGTTTCTGCGAGATTCGCCTTGAGGAGTGTTCGTTAGGCACTCCGTTTCAGAGGAGTCAAGGCTGACTGCTGTTTATGACATTATTTGGCCAGAATTGAAAATTTGTGTCGTATAGTGTATAGGTTACTAATTTTTAACAACCAGGTAGGATGTGTTAGGCATTCTACAGGTTTCAGTTGATAGTGTTATTCTACCATGGTCAGCGCCCCCATCTTGGATTTTGGTAAGTATTTATGAACTTTGTTGCCAGAGAACATGAAATCCAAAGACTAGATACTGCTTTTTATTAACTTTCTACTATTTTGTAGGAATTGTTTGTTTCAGTACACAAAGATTATCTGCCTTTTAACAGTAGGAATTGTCTTCTCTTCTATTACTAAACAAGTATTTACAAGTACACAAAGTTCATTTTAAAAACTTATCTTGTTCCACTCTAAATATATCTTGAATCAATTAAGGTACACAATAAAATGACTTTTAAGCTGTCAACTCTGAAAACTAGGAGGAAAAAGATAGTCCAGATGTTAGTACTGCCCTTCCCCCCATTTGAAATTTTCATTCTTCCTTGATGCTTGCAAGTTACTAGAAGCAGTGGCTCTAACACTCAAGTTATTTCCAATAAGAGGTTTAAGTAGAGACTGTACATGATAAAATGGAAGGTAGTTCCTGGTCCTAAAAAATGTTTATGGAATCTGAATCAAATTCAAATTTGAATTTGTATTTAAGAAATAATTTATAACTGTATTACTCCACACCCTCAAGAAGATTTATATAACACGTCTGCTCCATTTTTTGAAAGCCTTTTGTTTTGATTCCAATAAAGTATAGCTGCTAAGAACATGGATTGTAGATTTGGACCTGGATCCACATTCTGGCTTCTCATTTAATTGCTACGTCATTTTGGAAAAATTCCTTATCCTAAAACTAAGTCTCTGTTTTTGTAAATTGAAGACAGTAGTAGAGTCTACTTTATATTTTAAGGACCGAATGAGATGATGAATGTCAAATGTTTATCATAATGCCTGGCATACAGAGTGTACTCAAATGACACTGTTCATTATTACTAATTATCACCATATTCACCTAATTCAAGTGTTCTCAATTAATAACATTTTCTCAAAATAGATACTTACATTATCCAGCTGGCACAGAAAAATAATGAACTTCCAGTTTTGTTTCAACATTCATTTCAGGAGCCCCAGTATTAGGCCCTGAGCTTTCTGTCAGAAGTGGAAATAAATAGTTTAACTTCTTCTATCAGAAAATTTCTTAGTTTTATATTTATCTCACTATGGAGAGAATGACTAAATACTTGAACTTTAGGTTCAGTCAGTCAGAGTTCAAATTTCATGTCTTGTTCTTCCAGTAATGTGACTTCAGCCAGTTAACTTAACCTCTCTGTATTACAGTTTCTCTGTATTTAAATAGGTATGATTTTGTATCATATCCTGTGATATAAAATCCTATATCACAGGGTTGTTCCAGAGATTAAATAAGTATGTAAATTGTTTAGCACATTTCTATTTGTAGAATAACAGCTCAGGAAAAAGTATTCCAAAGTTATTAAGAGAAACTTTGTGTTTAAGGTAAATTTTAATATATTTTGTTTTGTTTTTGAGATAAAAATTACCTAGACTTGTTTAAAACCCAAATAGTACAAAAGAATATAAGGAGAAAGTAAACCTGCTTGTCAATTATTTTCCCACCATCAAGCAACTATATTTTCAATTTCTTGTGTTATCTTCCTAAGAGAGCCCACACACATACAAGTATGTATATGTCTTTTGAAAATACAAATGGTTGAATACCATGTCCACTATTCTGCATTTATTTTTTGCACACATATCTTGAAAATCTTCATTAGTTCATTCATTCACTTATTCAACAAGTATGTAAAAATTTCTAAATATATGACAAGCCCTTTTCTAGGTTCTGGAGTGCAGATGAAGTTCCAGCTCTCATAGTGCTTGCATTTTAAAAGGGAACTAAGCGATGAATATGTAACCAAATAATACATATTTTCCAAGTAGTCTATATGCTAGGAAGGAAAATTAAACTGAGAAGGAATTAGAGAGGCAAGGGCAAGGCGATACAGTTTGGAATGAAATCTTTAGGGAAAACCTCTATGAAGTGACATTTGAACAAAGACCTGAATGATGAACTGAGATAGATTAAGATTTGTAAATACTTGAAGATAGAGCCTTCCAGGCAGAGAGAAGAGAAAGTTAGGCCAGAATGAGACTGAGGTATTGAACAAACACTGAGAAGGACAGTGTGACTGAACAGTAATGGAGAGGGAGAGTAACAGTAGACCGGAGTAAGGTATAGATCCTATAGGACCTGGTAAAGAGTTTGTATTTTATTCATATGCTGGAAAGTCATTGGAGCAGAACAAGATGAGGTACACCACATCATCTGATTTCTTTTGAAGACGGTATCAGTACATACAATTGATGAATTAAGTCAAATTTATTATATATTCATATGATCTTTGACTTAACTGGCTTAAATTTTATCTAGGAAAACAGTAGCTAGATATAACATGAGGATTTTCCTGTTCAACTTGGTTGCAACTGTTCAACTTGTTTGCCTGTTCAACTTGCAACTGTTGAAGAGAATTAGTTTTAACACCGCTTCCTTAAACATAGCAGAAGAATGAGGCTCTCTGTGTAAGTCATTCTCCTGATGTTACCTTTATTTAAGTGATAGTGTTTTAACCATCTTCAACAATTAACATAAAAATGATCTCATTTTCCTAATTTTGTAAAGAAATTGGGCATATTATTTATCTTTTTTTGATGCCTCAGGTTCCTCATTATGATTTCTTGTTATTGCCAACCATTTTACTCTACCATGTATGTTGGTTCTCTTAGAGAAGTATAGTATGTGTTTGCCAAAAATGGCTATATTGCTATTTTGAATTCCATGTCTACTTTTATAACTTACTAATTAATTTATTCATTAATCAGATGTTTTGAGAACTTAACTATATACCAAGCACACGGCAAGAGATAAGGAGGAATATAAAGGTAGAAACATATAGTCCTATTAGCAGTTATGTTTTAGTGATACACAATAATCATAAAATTTAGATCTAGAAAAGAACATTAGTTATCAATGTAGTCCAACCCTATCATTTTATAGATTATCTAAAGCCCCTTCATCACTCTCTTTCATACTCTACCCACTCTAGAGATACCTTTCTATTATAAAAGAAATGGTGTTGTGTTTGTCCTTAATGTTTTAGTCCCACCGGTAAATCCTACCAGCTTGCTTTTTTGATTCAACAGATATCACTTGAAAGTAGATATGACAAAACTGAACAAAGACTGTGATACTATCTTCTGAATGATCATCTGAAAATAAGTTTTGACGTAACACATTATCGCACAGATAACAATATGCAGTCTTTTCTTTTGCCACTTCTTAAGTAAAAATGGTCAAGGAATGTAATTTCTGTGTGCCTTAGTCAGAATCAACTGGATGTCTGTCTCTTTTACTTGTTCATGTTAGAAAAAAAAAAGCAGTCATCATGTTTTAATGTAGGAACAACCTCATTAATTCCTAATGACATCAGCATATTTGAACATAATTGAGCATAATTTTTTCATTTACTAATTCCCAATTAGCTTCAAAGTCAAATCTAAGTTCTATAACCTGACATTCAAATCTTCTAGATCTGGCCCCACTTTTATCCAGCTTAATCTTTTTAATGCAGCCTTCTCCATTCCCTTTTGTTCTCTCCAGCTACAGTCAGGACTGAGCAGAGCTTAACTGAGCATCTCTTTAGATGCTGTAGATATAATTAAAATCATATAAAACTAAATGGTTAAACAAAATGAGATTTAAGCAAATTGACCACACAGCCATTTATGTCGTCTGCGCAAGCTGTTTCCTACCACAGG